GCCATCTACTGGGTAAAGACTTGCACTGCCATGGGGCTCCAGAACTGCGCCCCAGCCATTAAACAGGCCACTCAAGTGTTTGGCTTCCCCTTAATAGAGGCAGGCAATCAACAAACAGTGAAATGAATTACTTCCTCCTTTGAATTTCCCTCACATTTACTTAAGGCCAATATGGGGTATAAGTGATAAGAGCCTAATAACATAACATTACATTGATTTCTTATGGACAATCCCTGTTTCCGTAGATTGATGCTAAACTCTCAAGGGCTCATTGTTCTCCCCGTGACCAGCCCTGTGCTCTATAAGAAATGCTCCATAAACGCTTGTGACTGTGACTAGATAACATACACTGTGTGGGATGAGACTTTCCGAACAAATCTAATGGAATCGAATAACTGAACTAACGCAGAATGAGATAGGAATCGGACCATCATTCTGTTTATTTCATAGCATTGATAACCACACTCCACTTTTTTTTTGTCTCTCCTCTAAATTGAAGCTCCAAGATAGCAAGGATCACAAATGTCTTGCTCATCATTGTATGTCCAGCCCCTAGTAGCATCCATTCAAGAAATATTTTTTGAATGGATAGGTGGATTAATGAATGAGGGCCTGGACTCTCTGTCCTGCTTGCCTAGTGGCAATGCTCTGCTGCCCTGAGCCAGTTCTGCTGTCCTTGAGAACACCTTGATTTGACACATGGATACCATCACTCATCCAACCAATCAGACTACATATATAGCCAACTCTTATATTGAAGTTAAACTCACAAATCAAATTGGTGCTATTTGGAAAGGCAAGCATACAAGATTTCTCTGAGCAACTGCTGTCCTTCTATCTTGTTACTGTTTGCTTGTTACTATTTACCACTTACCTCCTGCATGAAAACATTCTTCCTCTTTTCTACCCTGCCCCCTACACAAGCCCACCTACTCATACAGAGTGACTGGAGTATTACTTAGGGAACATCTGTACCCCTTCCCCTTGTGATGGAGTATACTTCCCTAGTTGAATGATTTGGGGGCTTAGCCATGTGACTTCTTTTGGAATGTGAGTAAATGTGATATGAGCAGATGCCCTAAATATGCCTCTGTGTTTGGTTTGGCCTCTTGTGCTTCTGCAACCCACCCTGGGAAGAGCACGCTCCAAGTAGCTGCTCCCAGGACAACCCACAGAGCCATATAAAGAAAATCATCTGTCCTTTTGAGATTATTTGTTACACAGCAAAAACTGACTAATATACATGAACACGTTATCATCAGTAGCACCCCTAAGCGTCAACTTAGAAGTTCTATTCTCTGACTGCAACACCCTTGCATCTATGTGTTCCTCTGCTTCATTACCACTAAGGTTGCTTTCTGCTTCATTGGATCTCCACTCCTTATGATCTCTGTACCAGGCTCTTTCTGGTTTCATGTCCTACCCAACCTGGGCAATCACGTGTTAGCCAACTCTTGGATTAACCAAATGACTGGTTTAATTCATCTCTGCCACCACGCTGCTGGAGAGTATCTCCCAACTGCCTTCATTACATCATCTGCAAAGGAGTTCCTGCTTCAACTGCATCCTTGGTCTTGCTAGAACATGCTTTAACTGATCACTAGCTGGTGCCTTTCCTTATTCCTCACGTGGCTGTCCAAACCTGTGGTATTCTCAAGCCCCAGCCTCACTTCCGCTCTGCCCTGAGCAGAGATTTCACTTCCAACTTTTCAGAGAAGATAGAACTTTTGCAGGGGAATTCAGCAGTGGAGGTAAAATAGTACTGCAGTTAAGAACAAGGAGTCTGGAATCACACAGACTTAGGTATCTTCCTGTTTTGCTGACACCTGAGCAAAGGCACCTCTCAACCATCACTTCCTGTTTAAAACCTCCCTACTCTGACTCCCTGTGATTAAATTGTTCTTTTATCCATGTTCTCAGAGTGCTTAGCTATACCCTAATTTTTCTTTTGTATCTCACTGCATTCAGAATAACTAAACTCTTTACTCCATTTACTTACCTACAAGGCCACATATGATCTGATACCTGCCTGTGGCTCCAACCTGTTACATAGTCCTTCTCCAACTGACTCACACAGAGAAAGAGCGACCTTCCATATCCAACCGAAGAGAGAAAAATCCCAAAGTTATCTTACATACTGCAAAGGTCAATATGAACTCTAAAGCTGTGCGTTCTCTCTCTAATTATGTCTTTCTTAAACTTCTATTGAAAATAGTTTTGTTTCTGGACCACCTACCAGCTCGGCGAGTAAGACACACATAGAATAATGATGATATATTTATTGTATTAGTTGAGCTTTTGCTGTGTGCCAGGGAGAGTGCTAAATGCTTCACATGCATTATCTCATTTAATTCTCCAAATAGCCCCATGAAATAGAAAGTGGTTGTAGCAAGGTTCAATGACTTGGCCATGGTCACAACGCTAGTGACCCAGGTCTGTGTCATTCCAGAGCTTGTGCTCTTGATCATTATGCCACAACGTCTCCAGAGAACAGCTGCCGAAGGAAGACCAAGGTGAAATCCTCCAGCTAATCTACCTACAAGATAACTCACCAAAGTACTAAATTCAATTTCCTAGAAAGCGCCTAAAATGACATCAGAGTTTTAAATCTGCAGCTGAGAATGGCACTTTAGAAATTATCTGTATTCTGGATATTTAACTCTCGGGTTCACCCTGAAACACCAACACACTCCTTCCCCACCAGGAATAGCTGAGTTTCTCAGCTGCAGACCACATACCTCACCCTTTTCCCTCCACTCCTGAAATTCATGGCATTTTGCTAAGGTTGGATCAAAGAATACCAACAGCGCCAATACCAACTCCAGCCTTCATCTCTACAAACTGGGAATATCATTATGAGTAAAACTGCTCAGAGTCTAGGACCATCCTGACTGCTTCTGATTCGGATAGGGAGCGTGTCAAATAGGCATCACAAAACAATAACAGTCTATACACTGCTCCAGATCCAGACTCTCAGACGGACATCCACCATCAGGGCACTGCAGAGGGGACTCTTAAACTGAAGGAGAGGTTAGATTCCCACTCTAAGGATTGTTGAAACTCACAGGAGAACCTTAATAAAGACTAAGTAATTCTTAGAGATCAAGTAAAACCTAGAAAAAAAGATCTCTTTCCCGGGACAAGTGGCATGCTGACAATTTAATGTTTCAGGAATTAAACTCAGGATTCAAGAAATTTACCAATAGAAATTCATATTTAAAATGCATTACAGAGGTAGCATTTTCAAAGCTTTATTCACTGTTTGCTGGCCCACGCTAATGTGAAACTGCTTCTGGAATGGCCACGAGGCTGGCTGTGTGCAGAATGCCTTGGCTCTGTTTAGGAGAAAGGGGAAGATTTAAGAGCAGATAGGAACCCCCTGTGGCCAATTCCAAACAGATGTCCACAGTCCACACCCAGCAGATGGAAACACATCTTTGTTTTTTATGGCCTTACTGAGAAAGCCCTCTGGCTGCAAGCTTTCCAGAACTCAGATTCCAACAGCAGAAACCTTAGACCGTTGGAAGCTGAGACATCACAACAGCGAGCAGCAGGGACGGAGCTACCGCAGGGTCTACTCACGCATGCAGTCTCCTCCGTACCAGCCCGCCCGGCATTCTGCACAGTAGATCCCCTTCACATAGAAGTCGTCCAGAGTGCCGCCCCACGAGCCATTGCGGCAGGTCTTGCAGTTTTCAAAAATGGTACAACCTTAAACAGGTCCAAGAAGAGGGGGCGTTAGAGTCAGCACTTGCACGTTCCCATCAGCTGCGGCTGTGTGCGGAAAAACTGCGCACCTTGTCAGGGCCTTATCGCAACGAAGGGCATCGGGGACTCAGAAATGTGCCGAAGCCCTTAGGGAAAAATGCTCATTCCTAGGAAATGCCAAAGTCACTAGCATTCAATCTGAGGCGTTTTGGAGCATCGTCAGGACCATCTTCCTAGTTCATGGCTGACTAGGAAATAGCCTGCAGTGAAAGGTAGACTCTGTCAATACTGAGTACGTGCTCTCTTTAAAATCGTATTTCATGTCTATTATGGAATATTTTTAAAGTTCAGGCAAATGAACATAATTAAGACCACCTAAAAGATCATCACCCAGAGAAGACTGGTAACATTCTTTCTCTGTGTAACTCAGAGAATTGCCAAAAGGGTCAGAGGGCTGAGTTTAGAGCTACACAGCCTAGACCCACATGAAAATACATAACAAACTTGGTCCCCTGAGGACCCCGGGGCTGCTGGACATTATGGAAGTCACCATTAACGTCCTTGCCTCTGTGCCTCTGGACCCCGATCCTCCTTGCAACCACTGCCACCATCACAGAGGAGGCTGTCGTCAGTCAATGACAGGAATGATAGAAATTTCTAAAACCACACTGAGATATCATTTCTTATGTATGAAATTGGCAAAAACCCCAAATGACATATTCTGTTGCAAGGCTTTGGGAAAACAGTACCCTCATACATGCTGCTGTGAATGCCAAAGGCACGGAAGAAAATTTGGCAAAGGCTGGCAAAATGACATATGCACCTGCCTTCGACCCAGCAATCTCTCATCTAGGAATCTACCCCAAAGATACATAGCAAAAACACTAAATGATGTATGCCTAAGGCCATGCACTGGAGCTTTGTAATAGCAAAAAAGCTGGAAATAACCCAGATACTCATTAACTATGCTAATCTACACAATGCAGTTATGAGTAACTATAAACAGAAATGAAGATCATGGTTTATACTGTCAGTGAGTGATCTCCAGCATGTATTGGTAAAAGCAAAGTAGTTAGCAGCGTTGACGGTCATGCTATCTTTGGTGCAAGAGGGGAAAGATATATAAATGTATATATATATATTTGCTTGTAAAACAGAAAACAGATGGAAATAATAAACCTCTCAGTATATCAAATAGGTGGCAGAAACGACAGAGAAGAGAATTACAGGCAAACCCTGGCAATACGTGGGTTTGGTTCCAGACCACTGTAATAAAGTGAGTCCTAATCTTCCTGCTGGTGGAGGGTCTTGCCTTCAACTTGTAAAAAATGCAACGTTTGTGAAGCGCAATAAAATGCAGTGCAATAAAACCAGGTGTGCCTATACAGCAGTTGTCTTTAAAAAAGCCTTACAATAGCATTTTGACTGTGTATATGGAGTGGGACATCTTCTAAAGTCAATAACCACCACGAAGAAATCATAATTTCATTCAGTGGTCTGACTGAATGAATTACTAATAGTGCTGTTGTTATTTTGCACAATTACCTTATGTTCTAATATAGGATAAAGCAAATAAGTGAATAGGTTAATATTATTAGGAAACAAGATTTTCACCATGAGAGAAAACAGATACAAATGTAAAATCAAAGAAATAAACAACCTTATAATATTACATCTGAACTTGAATATCAGCATAAACTCATTTTTTTCTTGTTTTAAAAAAATATGTATTTTCCAACTCCATTTACTAAAAGGGGAGGGGGGGAGGGAAACCTAGTAACAATGACAGTCCAATGGCAAGGAACACCTCCGGTGCCTAGATTGTGGTCTCAGACCAGAGTTCCTTAGAGAAATGGCTGACTCTACATGTGGGACAGAAAATGCACAGGAAGAGCCTGAAACATTTCGTTGTGTGAGAAATCAAGGAAGCCTTCAAAAACCAGTGTGGCCATATCAGAATACAGAAGGACATGAAGGGGCTTCCAGTGTCCCATAATGGGATGATATATCATTAAAATGACTAAAATGGATTAAATCACATAAATAAATAAAAATACCTGAGTTCACAATGACACGCACACAGAGAAACCTCTTGGATCACCAATAGTGGCTGCTAGAGTATCAATTCATTATTTTGAAAATTAGCCGTGTTTTTTTTTTAAGTGTTATTTAGCCCTTTCTTTCAGGATAACCAAGTGGTTGATATGGGATAGCTCTTCACTACTTAGATCCAAAGATCACTCCAGGTGATGAGGTTGGGTGTCTCCTGTATGACGCAACTGGAAGCATCCAGCACCACCTATGAAGTTCTCTTACCTGACAGATGACCCAGTGCCATCTCACAAAACCAAAGCCCCACCCACACCCCAGCAATAACCACTAAGCTTTTGAAAATATTGAAAATTGTTCAAAGATTTCAATATCACTGCCAGAGACTTCCAGTTGGGAGACCCTGGCTTAACTCCCAAAGTTTCCTGAGAAAATTTGGTGGCATTACTCAACTATTTCCCTATAAACCACACTCATCCATCAGGGAATGGGGAAGCAGATTTCTTTTCTGGATCAAATGTGCAAAGGTTATACTGAGGTGGTTTCTATTCTAAAGCTCAGCATTAATGTCTTCCAGGAAGGAAGATGGCTTGGATGTATCGTGTATGTTCTTGAGTCTCAGTTTCTTCCCTCCTCTAGAGTCTCCTACAAAAGGAAGAAAGTTCCTGGTAGTGATATGTGTTATTCACTGTAAGTTGCTAATCACACTGGAAACGGCTTCTTCAGTCTGAGGCTCAAGGTCCACACTGGCCTCCACCCAGGCAGGCGTTTCAGTGAGAAAAGACAGTCGCTGTCCCTCTATGGTGAGGGCAGGGAGAGAGGCAGTTTGTTCAGCCTGATGCAAAAGCGAAGGAATGGGCATCATGGCCGGGGAAGGCGCCATCTCATCCTAAGATGCTCTCATGTCACCGGGACCACCTCCCAAATGTTGAGCTCAGAAGCCAGAGCATCATTCTTGACTTCTTCTTTCCCCTTCCCCCATCCAACCAATCCCAATTATTGTCAATTCCACTCTCTTTAACATCTCTCATATCCCTCCACCTTTCTCCGTCCACAGGGCTTCTGTGTTCATTGAGGTCTCCATCACTCCTCCCCTGGCTCCAAGAGTGCCCTTCCTCCAATCCTTTCTCCATACTGCAGCTAGAAAATTGGCTTCCACCTCTTTACTAAAGAACCTCCAATGTTGCTAAACTATCTTCAGGACATAGTCTAAACTTCATAGCACAACTTAAGAAGCCCTTCAGGGTTCAGCCCCCATTCTGTCTTTCATATTGCTCTCTCTTAAGCTTTTCTCTTTGTCTAACTATCTCTCTCCATGTTTAATATACACACACACCCTCCCACCAGACTGAGCTACTTGCAATTCCCTAAACCCTATGCTTTCTTTTGCCACAGGGCCTTAGCACTTGCTGTCCTCTATGGCTTGACCTCTCTACCAGACCCCTTCACTCTTTTTAGTTTGCTGCCTCCATCTTCAGCACGCACATCACCTTCTCCAATAAGACTCCACCGCCCTTTCCCCCATCAACCCTCATCCTCAGCCATGCTCCCATGTAGCTTGTGCTTCTCTGTCATAGCACTTACCACGCTGGATTACAGTTGCCTGTTTACCCTTTCATCTCTGCCTCCAGGCTGCAAGCTCTGGGGATGGGGGAAGTGTGAGGTTTGTTTTTTTTTTTTAAATCATTGTATTCCCAGTGCCTGATGTGGTATCTGGGAGTGCTCAGTCTGTTAAATGAATGAATGAGTGGATGACTTCACAGCTTACAAGTTTAACACTGAAAAGCGTACTAACTCCTCCAAGTCCTCCAGTTAGAATGAGCTAAATTATGCTACTCTTAATAATCATGGTATCACAGCCTCCTGATGTCTGCCTGCCAGAATTCAAATGTTCAGCATGTTCCCCTTTGTGACTCAGAAAACACAAGGCAATCTGAGGTCTCCCCTTCCACACTCACCTGGGTGAATTAGGCAGGAGTCACACTCATTGTCCTCATTCCTGCAGCAAGGGATAGTATAACCCACAACTTCCTTCTTTCCGGGGCAGATGCATTCAATCTGATCATATTCACAGCACTCCCGACACATGATATTCCACTCAGCTCCAGGGCAGGCTTCATTAATGACCGTGTACTCTGAAACAGAAACGAGCATGTAAGGACAAAGGTCCTAGCAGGAAGGGGTAAGACTCATAAGAAGTCCGCTGCTAAAAAGCAGCCTTACTCTACAAATGTGTTGCCCTGCTTGAATGATGGAGAAGACCGTGTGAATCCTTCTAGGCCAATGCTTCCAAGGTGGGTAGCCTGCCTCGAAGGGTGTTCCAAGCCATCCACCGTGGCACAGATGGAACTTGTTAGAACTACTATTCATTTTTATTTTTTAATAAAAAGAAAGAAATCATGCTCTATCGATATATAATCTAGGTGGACTGACACATACATAATTTATCAACAAGTAAACATCTCTTGGGTGCCTATGCTCAGTTCTGTTTCCCGGGGCACAGAGGGCCCCTGCTTACAGCTACGCAGCTCATGCGCGCCCCAGCTCCAGGAGGAACCATTCGACCGCACGACTGTGCAGTGCAGCCCAGGCCTTCGGGCCATCAAAAAGGTCTGGAGCCCTATCTCTAGATTAGGCCATTCAAGTGCGAGGCTGATTGCCAAAGCAGAGACCATGTCATTTCCTTTAAACTTGGCTCCTCAATTTTGCAACATGCCATTTTTATGGTACCTTCAAAGCTAAAACCAACAGAAAAGACAAAAAGCATCTTAATTAGTATGTTTGGGAGAATTTCAATGTTTTACCAGGGTGAACTCACTGGCAGAACTTTATTCGGTCGCCGATTTCAACTGAGCATTTTTTCCCATGAGAAAAAAAAAAAAGTATTCTTTTCTGGGTAGGATTTCTGTTTTTCTTTCTTTTTTAAAAATACACCTTAAGTAAATGAAAAAGAAAAACCATCTGGCAAAATCTATAAGAGGAATGAGTTGGAGGCTGCCCAGAGGAGCCCAGGGTAAGAAACAGACAGGTTTGATTCACTATTCTTTTTTCCCCACTTTCCATTCCTAAACATTTTATACACAGGTCATGATTGAAGCAAAAATAGGTCAGATATTTGAGGGAGAAAGTAAAAGAAACCCCAGGCAGGATGTCCAGGCACGCTTTGCAGGCCCACATAAACTAACCTTAGTATCTGTGGCAGCTTCTAACCTCTTGAAATTTCATAGTTTAGTTTACTATTTTCTGCTCCTAAACTAAATTCAGAAGTCTGATACAGTGTTGATAATTCTTAATTTGCCAAATAGAGACATTTAAAAAAAAAAAAGATCACCATCTACTCTCAGCCGCAGGTCATAAGAACATTCTAGCATCATAGAAAGGAGCCATTTGCATAATAAGGTTTTTTTTCATTTTCTACCAGCAAAGATCCTCACACTGGCATTGGGGAATGACTGGCAGAGACCATCGTGACCCTGTCACTACTGAGATTTTGTTTCCCCCTCAGGGACAGATACCAGGACTTATGTAGCTGAGCTTCCCATGTTTCTGACGTTGGCTGGATGAAGTGAATGACTTCTAAAATCTAGATGAGAGCCTAATGGTTAAAAGTGAAGGAAAGCAGAAGAAAACACAGGGGTAAATATTCACGATCTTGGATTTGGCACTGGATTCTTACATACAACACCAAAAGTATGTGCAACGAAAGAAAAACAGATAAATTGAAAGGTTAACCCGCGAAGTCATTTAATCACTCCGTTCCTCAGTTTCCCCATTGAGCACAGTGCTAAGTGTATGGGTGAATCAATGAATTCCTTCTTTCATTCCACATGTATTTACTGAGTGTCCACTATGTACCAGGAATGAGGCTGGGTGCCACAATGGAGAGAAAAACAGGCACCAACCCTGGCCCTGTGGAGCTCACAGTTTCTTAGGGGAGCAGATGTTGAATAAATGACCCCACAAACACAGAATCACTAACTGCGATAAGGAACATTTAGGATGTTATGAGAACAAACAAATGGTCACGAAGGGACATTAACACCAAATCTACAGGATTTGTATTGTTAGGGGATTCTAAATAAAATCAGACAGAAATCTATGTATCTGCTAAAATCAGAGCCCTTCCCAAAAACACAAACGTGATGGAGGAGGTGATGGTTTTAATGGTTCTGTGAGCTTTTCCCTCTGGTCTGGCAAATCCACCCTTTTCTTTGTCCCCACAGAGACAGGAAAATGCCTCTACAACACGAGAAAGAAATACATACATACGTAAATAAAATATTCTATGAGAAATATTTACAGTTGACCAACTGAAGAGATGAAAAAATACAATAAGCAGACAAGAGCAAACTCCTGGAATTTTTTTCCCCCTCCATTTATTAGAATTACTTTTGCAGAAAGAGTACATTGGTCATTTGCCTTTAGATGGACAAATCGCAGGAATTTCAGCATGGGGCTGAAGGCCAGGTCCAGGAGCTAGGATTTAGAGAATCATTAATAGTAGTAAAAGTTACTGAATGTTTTCATATGTGTGCACTAAAGCACTTTAGCATTTGTTTAGTTAAAGTGCTTCTATATTGTTTATGCAATTAAATCTTCAAAATGACCCGGTGAGGTCCATGACACAGTCTCTTTTAAGTTAAAATGATCTACTCCAACCTCTTCACTCTACCAGTGAGGAAAAGAGCGAAGTAGGGAAGAAGCAAATAGAAATGCCAAAGAAGCCTTTTTAGGGAATTCACTCTGGAGGGAAAAGGAGGCCCACAGAATTCCAGGCCTAGGGAGGAAACGGACATCCTGCTGCTTCGGGGGAAGCAGGCTGGAACCACCTCCAGCTCCGTCAGCCACTGGGTTGGCCATTCGTTCATCACTAATTCTTCCACTGGATAAAATATTTTTTTCTCTAAAACACACTACACATTTTAATATAAAAGATTCCTCATGAAAGCATCAAAAAATAAAATCATAAAGGAATAAAAAGTAGTCAGAAATAACCTTAATATTTTATTGCCTATCCTTTCAATTGTCTTCTTTCATCAGACATATATATCCACGTGTAGATACTAATGAACGTGAAGACACAGTCTTCTTACCTCTCAAAACGAGTAACATATGTTTTGTTTTAAAAACTGCTTTTTTTTTTTTACTTTATGCAGCTCACGGACATTTTGTCATGACATTGAGTGGTCTTAAAAAATGACTTTAAATTACTGCATAATTATCCTGTGTCTACAAGTGCTTCCCTCCCTCTCTTTTTAAACCGGGGGAAAATATCAGGAGAGTTGCAAAGTGCTTCGGCATCACCAGCTTGGCTCAAGCCCTTCTCTCGAACGCCGTGCTCGGGTCCGCCATCCTCGTATCTCCTGTCTAGAGTGGAGAGTCCAGTCATATGAATCCAGCTCTGGTTCTTCTGGAATTCATTTTGGAAAATGCAAGACACTTAAGCTGCTAGTCCTGTTTTATCAATGGGAACACCAAAGCAATGACAACAATGCTGACCATCTGGCACAAGTTCAGCTCGTGGTGAGCAAATGAATGAACAAATGAAAGAAAGTTGGCTGTCATCACCATCATTACTTTGCACAGCCCTTCGAAAGCCTAATAGTTTACTGTCAGGCTATCCAATGCTGAATGTTTTCCATTGCTGACAAGATGAAGAACACTTGATCCCCCAGACGGCCAGGACTTAACTCCACAGAATGGCATGGGAGTTATTGTGTCCCCTTGGCATAGTCTCCAAGTGCCATGTTTTCAGCACTAGATTTTAAGGAAATACATTGACAAGATGGCTGTTAAGGTCCAAATGAAAAACTCAGAGGATTCTTAATGAAAACAAAGGTCAGCCTGTTCCATACATGATTGAAACATCAGCTGTCAGGCTAAAGGCCCAGGCGGAGACCACCTCAGTAGGTAGCAAGGAAAGGCGCTTTTACCATGCACCCGCCTAGTGTCAGACTCTGCCTTTGCGCCCACCAAAAACCCCATGGCCTTCCCATCTAACCACATTTAATTAAAATTTCTACTGAGTTTTTTACTGTCCTGCATTTTATAAATGAGGCCAGAGGGATAAAAAAAAAAAAAAAAAGACATATGAACCAGAGATATACAAGTAGGTAGCTTGGGCTCCTCTCTTCCCCCCACTTACTCCCCCACTTCTTCTTATTATCCCCATATTAATGTCTAGGCAACATTCCTGACAACTGAGGGTCTGACCTCCTACTCCATGGGACATGGGACCAACGACAGACAGGTAAATCCCAGGCAGGAACGACTTAGACAGGAAGAATGACTGGGGCCCTCAGTGACTCTTGATCTCCTCCTAACCTTTCAGAACCTTCCCATCACAAAGTGAACCGCATTCACAGCCTGGCTGGATTCCTAACCTCAGTTACCTGTCTTCCCCTTCTCACAGCTCCTCTTGTTCATGACAGGACAGCTGGAGAGTCAAGGCCTTCATCACCTTTCCTTTGGGTACCAGGAGTGATAAAACGTGCAGTGGACTCCCCAGAAATCTGGTTTTTAGCCATCTGTACACTGGGGAGGGCTAGGGAGGCAGACAGCAGTTTGTCACTTCCTCTCTCTCCTCTTCCTTTGTTTAGCACACCGTTCCACACGGTGCCTCTTCATTCATCCTCCTCTGTTCTCTGGGTCCCAGAACCCACGGGGAATGTATCTGAGCCCTCAGCATATACCAGCTCATTGAATCCTCGCAGTCGCCCTTCAAAGTTTTATTTCCTTCATTGAACAGATGAGGAAACAGAAGAACAGAAAGGGTAAGTAAATTACTCCAGGTGGCACAGCTTTCAGGTGAAAGAAGAAAGATCGGAACCGGGTCTTTCTGGGGCCAAAGTCTTGTTCCTTCCAATACTACCTTGATTCTAGAGAACTCGCACCTCTGACTTTACAAATTAAGAATGCAGCATTTGGTGAAGTGCGCACGCTTGGGAATCCAACCACCCAAATTTTAATCCTGAATCTGTCCCTCTTTTACGTTGCTGGACAACCACAGACAAGGCACTTTGGTGCAGATTTTCCCCAAACTTCACGAGGATAGAAATAGATTGATGGGGTGACAAAGACAATGGGCGTAAAGGGTTTTGGAAGGAAAACTGCCTATCTATCAAGTCATTATCAT